AGAAGTTCAAGGGCGGTCGGACTGAAGGAAAAAAAGCTCCCCCGCGACATAGTGGTCAGATACCTCTATCAGGGGGAACTCGGTGGCAGTAAGAGAGCCACGGATCCTAACTGGTCCCTGGAAACGTATGAGATTTCGAAATCCGTCACCAAGGAAGGGCAACCCGTGTTGTATTACCTAGATGGCCCAAGTCGTGGATTTGTCAAGGAAGAGCTGCTCATAGTCCCCAAAGACTCAGAGTAGTGCTGCCCCACGCGCCCGATTGCACTCTAGGCATGTCAGTCTTACGTTGCCTCTGCAATGCCCGCGTTTGTTATTTATACGATCCACGGAGAACTGCTGATCGTCATTCGGGTCAAACCTCCACAGTAGTGGTATGTTACATTTGGCACACCGTGCCCCTTTCTTATAGACGTCGTCCTCACATAGGTCGAAGGTCATGTTTTTTTCTTCGTCGTATCGCTTGTAGCGAAGGAGTTTCTTAGCAATGTTCTCCTTAGCTACGTCTTCGGGGGTGCGGCCATAACGCAGTTGCGGACCCCAGGCTCTTTTTAGTTGTTTGGCGTACTCTACGCGGCTTACAGCAGTGTAGATAAGGTTGCTCCAACACAGCCGCTGGTCTATGATCCATAAGGTTTGTTTTATGGTAAGCCCCTGCACGCTGTGGACTGTCATGCAATAGCCCAAGCGCCAGTCTGGATGGGAGGTTATTTTTTTCACCTTTTCTATGGGCACCCAGGCTTTATCGTGCGTTACTGCRTTCTGCAGTTGGATGTCGGTACTGGGTACGTAGACGTCTTTTCTTTGCATGCGGGTGTCGTGGGGTTTGTAGCAAACGGGCACGGGATGCGTAGGGAAGCGCTCTTGGTGTATTTTGAGTAAGTCTTTTTGTATGCGAAACTTTGCTGCGCGCTTACTACTTAGCACCAGATCTTTAGGATGCCAGGCGTATAGAAAGTCCTCGTATTTCTTCGCTCGTACGCGTTTGCGCAGTGCTTTGCATTGGTCGGCGTCGCTAAGATCCCGCAGTTCTGCTTTTAAGTTACGTATTTGATCTTTGCTGCGGTAGTCGGTGTTAATTTCTTCGGAGTGGTCTACTAGATCTTTTAACCATTCGTGGGGCATTTCTCCGGCTATAGGAGGTGGCTGGCAGGGATCTCCGGCGAATATTACTTGACACTTTCAGCGGAGGAAGTCTACGAACTCCTGCAGGATTACCAAAGCAACGGGTACAGATTTCGTCCCAAAGTATCACCAGAGGTATGTCGTGGATAGCTTCCGGTACCCACTTTTGACCATTCCAGCGAARGAAGCTGTGGTAGGTTTGAGCGTCGTAACCCATCTCACGGAGTTCCCTTTCCAAGCGGTGCGTTGGCGTTAACACCTTTATCTTAGGAAAGAGTTCTAACACACGCGTCGTCTTACCGCTGCCTCCCGTACCGTAGAGGTAGGAGAAGCGTTGGTAAGAGATTGGGTCCGCAACTGAAGGTAGGGGCTCCGCAGTGGSGGTTACGGAACCACGGGTGTGTTCTCCGTGATATTCTACACGTTCCCTCCAAGCTTTTATTTCTTCGTCTTTGACGCGCCATTGTCCACTTTCCGCTAACTCGTCTTCTGTGTAGAATTCTTTCTTCTTCTCTAAGACGTGCGGTTTCAGGTACAAGGAATCCGTAGCTACGCGCGGAACGTCCTCTTTGTCAAACCGTAGGAGCATTGCTAAGAGATTGATATGCGCATATGCGAGCATACTGGCACGCAGATGGTAATACTGTGGTCGATGGTCCTGGTAGTAACACAAAGCATTCCATTTGTGTAGTTGATCTTCTACTAAATAGTCCCATTTCTCCACAAACACCATTGTTCCTTGTTCATGGGCGCGCTTGATAAGGAAGCTTAGTTCGCCTTCGTCCGTTATTAGGCGTCTTTGCATATGTTTCTCACCCTCCTTAGCACCTTGCGTGAACTTTCCTATGACGATTCTTGCTGTTGGGTTGTGCTCCGGTAAGCACTTCGTGAAGCTACTGTGGCAAAGTATGGCTTCATGCGCGGTGTATTTTAGCAATTGGCGCTCTTCGAGGAACTTTAACAATGGTACGGGTATCCATTCTTTCTCCTGCATATGCTTACCATACCAAGCGTAAATTATGGGGTGTAAGCCCTTTGCTAACTTCCAAGAGGTCAGTCTAACAAATCCTGTAGCCGGCGCGTCGTAGTGGTCGTCTAACGAAACACGAAAGAACTGCGAGTCTGGGTGCCCGTAGCGGTCGTAATATTCCTTACAATCTCCTAGGCCTTTGAATGACGCAGGGTAACAGTGTTTCATATCTAAGGATACGTATTCTTCCTCGTCGTATTCCATGTTCCATAAGCCGCCATGTCCATGTTCTACGCATGCTTTGGCTATGTCTTTGAACTCTTTTGGGGTTGGTTTCCACCCATTCCTTCTTTTTGCGGCTAAGAAGTCCAAACTACGACTACTTAATACTTCATCTGAGAAATCTTCGCCTAGAGTCTCGCAGGCACTTTGGATGCGTTGTTCTATTTCTGGGCGATATAAAGTACCATCTTGGGTCATAAACTGACTTCCTTCCGGATCCATTAACCAAATAGAGTTCTCATGGATTAACTCCACCAATGGAGAACTCTCGTAGACCTTTGTCTCTTTCTTTTTAGGAAATCTTAGTTCTCTCCAAGCATGCGCATTGTGTTGATAAATGACAATAGGAGCACCCCTACCACCGTACTTATGCGTCCCAGGATAAATGTACCCATCCGTGATATCCTTTACGTGTATGCGCCTTTCTAAGGCAATTTCTAATTTCTTGATGCTGTCTATTGTAGCTCCGGCCCTCTTAGTAGCATCTTCCCATTTCCTGATGGCTTCTCTTCTTTTTGGGGTAAGCTTACCGCCCCGGGAGGAATCTTCAAAGAATTCCCTGACTAACTTTCCTACGCAGTTGCCAGGATGTCGCATTGGTTTGAGTTTCCTAACATCTGGCTCCTTAATCTCATACGCACCGTAGATTACTACTGTAACAGGTTAAGCAACTTCGTAGAACAACATGTCGATGCCTACCAGCGCTCCGGGCCTGGTATTCTTGTTTAGGACGAACAAGCTTTGCTTATCAGACGCCCGAATAGGGTTACGACCTCTTTCTATTATCCATTCACCGTCGTAATACTTTATGAACGTTAACTGTAAACGGTAATTACCTTCAGGCATCAGGTCTATTATCTTTTCGGCTCTTTCTTCGTCCATGATTTCTTCTGTGTCTCCTTCTGTGAATGTCGTGAAGGCGAAGTCGGCGTCCAAACGATCCAATACCTGGGTTCGCAGCTTGCGTACAGTTTTGTTTTGAATGCTTTTGATGGCGTCCATCTATATATAGGAAACATTTTAACCTTCGTTTGCGAGACAAATATTTTGACTCAGTAATGCGAACAGACACATAGGGACCTTACGGGTAATACCCACGGCGGACGCATAGTGTTTGGCGGGGGTAATACCCGTCTCCGCCGGTACCCCCTCCGCGGGTCCCCCTTACTGCTGCTCCTAATGTTGTTTATAACCTCCTAACATGGATTTTAAGTGACGAGGACAAACAATTGGAAGATTGCAACAAAACTAAAATTAAAGTTGAAGAACATTGTTGGCGAATTATCATTTCTGTCGCTCAAGATCTCCTGTGCAATGTAACAAATGTAAGACAGAAAACTCCAAAGCATGTTGTCTTACCAATCACCGTTAGAACCCTCACTGGGTCAAGAGAAGTTATCACATTGCTCAACAGGTATGGTCATGGGATTTCATATGATAAGGTCCTCGAAGACAGCACTTGCAGAGAACCATCTAGAAAAAGCTGTACGTCCAAATGTATTCAGCCAGTTTTGCTGGGACAATATTGACCTCAAAGAAGAAGCCCTATCGGGAAGAGGTACAACACACTGTAATAATTGGATTGTGGTACAGCGACAAGTGTAAGGCCAGTGTTTACATTCTATTATGTATTCACGTGGTATGTTAGTGTGCTGTTCAGGTTAATTTATGAATATTATTGTTATATATTTTTTAATATTAGGGTGCGATCTACCACCTGCTGTATCTATGGAAAAGAATATCCGAACGCGCACTTTTCGTGCTGTCCCAAGCCGAGTATGTATAAACTGAAGCTGCTTTTCTGGAAGAATCAGAGAATAAATAAATAAATAAATAGCATAACATTTTTACAGGTTTACGAATACAATGCTGGCAAAAGATGTGGCCCTGGTGAATATTCTAAAGATCCTACTACTCTCGTTGAAGGAATTGACAAATGCGGCAAGTCATCAATAACCAAGGACTTTGCATGGTTCTTATCACGTATGCCTAACCCAAGTGAAGCCAATTCAAATGCTCTACAACCTGTACCAGGATGGAGTGGTTTCAACCAAGTGGCAACCAACCAAGAAATCCGAACCAGGTCTGTGGTTGGCTACTGCCAGCTTATAGATGCTTACCCAACGGAGTTGACGACAGTGTATACATTATTGAAAAAGTCTTCTGAAATGGCAACTCAACTTGGATTGACAGACGCCGTTGTTGTTCTAGATCAAGCAATATACGCAAAGGCATTAGAAGTACATGTAGTGTGGAAACATACAAAAGAGTTTAAAAGCGTTGTGCTACGAATGGGGAGCTTCCATATTGCGTGTATTTCTCTCAGTTATAGGAAAGCGTCTTGGTGATGGTGGATTGAGAGATCTTCTGCTCGAAGCAACATTAGTGGGGAGTGGTTCACTTAATGGTGTTCTTGAAGGAAAGTACTATAACAGGGCATTGCGTACACATAAGGTAATTGTTATTTTATCATCATTAATACTCCAGCTTAGTATTATCATTTCACAAAAAACACATGTAATTCGTGTCGCGTGATCTCCGAAACGCTAGTCGTGTTTGTCAACACTCCGTGCCCAGAAAGGCCAAGTTGTATTAATTTCTCTCATATTTAAATCAAAATGGCTTTCATAGATACGAAGTTTTTGGCTTTTTTATTTCGCATTCCGCTGAAGTATAGACTTAAATCCATCAAAAACTATTACAGTAGCAGTTAGGGATTGACCAAATATTGAAGATTTTTTTCCCATCCTGAAACAGTCCAAGTACCTTAAATGGTAGCASGTTACTAAACCAGTCTGGTACATTGGCTTCTGTGGTGTTTGCAAGAATTATTGCAAAAAGCGAGTGATGAATATCTCATCGCAGGGCTGTTGAACACTCCAAGCATTATCTTGGGTATGTTTCCAAGGTTTATACCTTAAGAGTTGGTGCTTACAGTAAAGACTAAAAGTATCAAGTAATATTTATAAAACTCATGAATAGTTAATGAGGAAAAGGCAATAGAAATCATTGTCCGTGGAAGAGGTTGTATATCTAATACAAAATCGTCCTGATTTGCATAAACTTTAACTCTCAGCCAAATTCAATTTTATCTTTAAAATTATGGTAGAACATGAATGTATACACATAGACGTTTCATAAGTAATATACAATATGAGTGGCCATGTTGTATGAGATATACAATCACTCGCTTTCGGCTAGTGGTTGTATATCTGATACAACACGGCCACTCATATTGTATATATTACATAAAGTATGAGTGAACGTGTTGCATCAGATATACAAAGTCGAGGCATAGCCGAGTACAGTAGATTGCTTGTCAAACGTCTAGGTTAGTTCCTTTGTGTTCCACTAAAATTTTCAAAATTAAAGTGAATCTGGCCAAGAAAATCCAACTTAAAAATTGAGCAAATGAACACAATTTTGTATCAGATTTACAACACTCTTCACGGTCGTGATTTCTGTTGTTTTCCTCATGAATTATTAATGAGTGAGACAATGAATATTACAATTGGAATTACAATAAAAATATTATCTATAAATATAACATATTTAGGCTCTACTCTCTAACTTTCATACTAAAACTTATTTTAATTTAAACAACCTTTTTTTATTTCACATCTTAATTTAAACAATTTTCTTAAAAAAGTTTCTTTTTTATATCTGGACACAATTCTGTAAACTATTCAATTTTTGGAGCAAAATACTTTTGTATCGTATTTTATCAACAATTGTTACCTTGGAATTAAATGTCTTGTAATCATATCTGTCAATAATACAACACAAACAAGTCCTGTGACAGCCATTATATTGTAGAGCAATTTCGTCTTGATTTATTGAATAGATGGAATAATGTAGATTTTTGTGACAGTAATTAGGCTGTCATAAATCAATAAAAAGAATGAAAAAGAACTATTACATATATGAAAAAACAAATTTGCTAATTCACCTGTAGTCTTTTACTTACTAGCACTAACTACTTTGAACTAACCTAGTGCCTCATTATCGTTGAAGATGGTCAATCGAATAACTGAAAAAACGATAAAAAACAATATTTTCAGGCAAATCCTAGACAAAATTAAAGATTTGGACCAATGATTTTAGATCATTTTTTGATTTAGAGGTGCTGATGTAGACGAATTTGCAATTAAATCAAGATTTCACTTCCATAGCAATAGGTTGCTTGATTCCTAATCTTTGGATATCTTGTCATCAGTTCTTGATCCGTTTTTTTACTGTGCGAAAACTAATTGTAAAACTCTTTGCTTCGTAACTGGCCCTTTTTTTCATGATTACTTCTTTTATTCATTCTAGTTTTTTTATGTGTGGTTCGCTGGAGCTAAAGAGTGGTCCCACTTGATTGGTGATGGATTTGAAGGGTTTCAGTGTCGCCCTCCTTGTGCCATTAGATAGCAATAGGTGGGAATGTTACCATGGGTATAGCAAACTTTAATGTTCAGTTTTTGAATAAAATGGTTGAATCGTTTCGAAAGTTAAAAAATTAATACAAATAAACATACTTTTGTTAATTATGTTCTGATGTGTCGTTTGTTTGTAATTCTAAGAATCAATATTGTGAAAATGCCAGGCTAGACTCTAGGTGTCAGCAAGCATTGTATGCCTAATCAGCAGTTGCTATCATTATTTCACAACATGCACMGACAAATTGTAATATAGAGCATTTTCGCGTGATGTCACAGCGGCCATTATGGGGTACCAAAACAATACATTTTCTATCCTCCGGGAATTGAACTCTATTTTTATGCAAATACTGTGCAGAAAGTTTCTATTGGCTGTGGCCACACTGGGGCGTTTAACTATAGTTTAGCAGTAGTTTAGCTTAGTTAAATGACGTAATACAAACTATAGTTACACTCTTTCATATATGTTTAAACAACTTTGAGGTCACACATGTGAGGTTTAACCATAGTTACACCAAGAACGACTCACACTTCTGTGACTTATCAGTCAAAACACCAAAACGGCTGACAGAAGAATCTTTAGGATTATTCTCCTGTTATTCAAGCAAAAACGAAAAAGGACGAAATTTTTTATTATTTAAGGGTTATTCAGTCATCACGGCGATTTCGATTGCTTTCTATTTCGATGATGACAGCAGTTATCACACCTTTACTCAGACGTAACCGATACTTGCAGAGTGTGGATCCTTCCAAGACCTCAGTTCTGGTTCAATTCTATGCTAAATGAGTGTGTGTATGAACATGATCCGTACTGGCAACAGCAATTTCGAAAAACAAGAAGTCCAAAAAAAACCCTATAGCTAAAAGAAAAATGAGAAATTAAAGGAAAACACTGACTACCGTGTGCTACGTATACGTTTTGGCGGGACTGATCTAATTTTCACTTCATTGGCGCGACATACCTGTTTCACTTACACAAAATATAAACCGAACCTGATTGGTCATTTTTTCTTAATAGAATCTATACCATGGGTTGTACCTTAGTTTAACTTGGTTTAAGTTCCATTGTTTTACCTTGACGACCAGCATAGCAACTAACAATAGTTAATTAAATAGAAGAGAGGTCACATTGGTTTTGAAGTTAGATTTGGCTGAACTATAGTTATATATATAAACGCCCCAGTGTGGCCACAGCCATTGTTTATGGCTGCCTTCTCACGTGAATGAAAACGCTCTATATGCTGCTTTCACATAGGTATCTGTATTTAAATGCAAATTACATTCTCATATGATTACAATAATACATACCATACATACATACCATAAGAAATATTTTTGCCAGATTACTAAAACGAGTATTGGAGGATTTTACAAATTCTTTCATGCAGCCAACTACAGCCAGACTTGTTATCTCTATAGACATAGCAATGCAATACAAATTAACACACCTACTGAAAACTCTTGGAATTTGGCACAACTTATTCAACTTTTCACTCAGAAGTGTCTTAAATTAAGGTCAGGGTTTTGTACCTCTGGCGGTATRTCCCTATACAAAACGCTGTCGAGTATACCCCAGGTTGTAGTATCAGTATATAAAACTCTTGTATTGGTATTCATCTTCAGCTTGCGAGACAATCTCCTACTTCTATATGAATAATTCAGTGTACTTTATTCCGCTGTTATGTCCCCCATTTTACTGTAGGTTAGGGGAAGGGTTTGGAGACAGGGCCTACGGTTTTAAGTCCTTGTCCGAGAAGACGTGAAGGTCTAGCCATTTGCAGATGTAATTACAAAGGCAGCACCTTCTCCTCGGTTATTTTAAGACCCTAAGTGTTGGTCCGGCTGAGGCTTGAACCATGACAACAAACAAACAAATAACAAACCAAGGCTCCTACCATCTGAGCTAACCGGGTAACAGATTTATTTAGTATTGTTAAATCACCAATGTATTAATGCATTTCCACAAGTGAAATTGGCATTCCATGTGTAGAAATGTTCACACGCTTGGTAGTTTCTAGCTAGCTAGCTTGAAAGTTGTTGTCAGAACAGGCCAACAATAGTGCAATTATTGAATCTTTAAAGCAATACCTTGAATTGTATCAGGGGTTACCAAGAACATTAGCGTTGTGATGGCTGATAAAACTGTTTCTTCAACTGTACTATTTTTAAAAAGAAAGATGAATATAACAAATTATTATTGCTCTTATAGCATACTCAAACTTAAACAGTACCAGATTGATTTTTCAGAAAACAATTATAAAAAGGTTGCAATATAAAATGTTTCTTTTTTTATCCAAGTGAGAATACACGTTTCATCCAAGTGACAATATATGAGTATGCATTGCTTCCAGAGAGCGTGTTTTTGGCCACTCCACTAGAAATTCCAAAATGGCAAGTTTTCCCCTTTTGCCTTGATCCTCGATTTCTATTCAGTGTTCCAAGATTTCTCTCCTTTTTTTCAACTGAATGCCCAAAATTTCCAGAAATGTTTTAAGTTGCTATAGTGCTGTCTGTCACTGCTATTTAATTAAAGTGAAGTACTGTAGATATAACTCTCAACTCAATCACACATATGATTAAAGTTTGTTAAATTAGTTTTTCTCTGCCTTGCTACTTGTGCATGTACAATGTATTGTGCATTGAAAACAGTGAATGTAGTGGAACCAAGTGGTAGTGTATGTGGAGCGAATCTTATGAGAGTTCTCCGTACGACAAGTGACGGTCGTGAAATATATGTATTTATTATATGACCATGAATCTTAGAGCCTGGAAACTAGCAAATCGAGCAATCTGATTGGATAGATCGCATCACGGACTGGTCTAGATTCTCCGGTATTAACCGGTCAGATCGCATATTAATCTTACAGCGAAAAATTTTTTTTCCAAATCGATACATTGAGATTGAAACTAAAAAAGTAAATCCGTTTTATTCGTCGTACTTTAGCATGGATGACAACCCTGAGTTTTATTACCCTGAAGATCTGGAGGACGACTTGGATTTAGCCAATGCAACAGCAGTGTTTGAGTCGCAAAACAGCAACAACAACAATAACAACAACAACAAAGATGAAGACGAAGAGATGATAAACAAATTTTTGAACGACCAAAAGACCAAAAACACAGGGTATAAATCGAAGAGTGACATGAAAGCGTGGCAAAGATTTTGTCAATCCATTGGAGAAAGCAGAAAAATGGAAGACATACCTGAATCTGAGCTGAATACACTGCTTTGCAAATTTTTTATCTCCATCCGCAAACAAGATGGCGGCGAGTATGAACCGGGAAGCATTACTGGATTTCAAAGAAGTTTTCAACGTTATCTCCAGGAAAAAGGATCTTTGTATAATATTCTCAAGGATAACGATTTTTCCAGGTCCAGAAGCGTCATTGCTGCCAAACGAAAGGATCTCACTTGCAAAGGAAAATGCAATCTTCCCAACGCAACGAGAGAGCTGAGGGCAACCGAGGTAAACACACTGTTTGAGATCGGGCAGTTCAGTGTTGTAGAACCAAAGGCACTGCAAAAGGCACTGTGGTGGTTCCTTTCCCTACATTTTGGTTGGAGAGCTAGAGATGAGAGCCGGAAGTTGAGCTGGGGAGATGTGAGCCTTGAAAATGACCCAGAAACTGGAGCTGAATGTCTGGTGTGGAAAACAGAAAAAGGTAGCAAGACACGAACAGGCCAAGGAGGGCACCGAAGAGCTTTCAATCCAAAAGCACATGCCAGTGTCAACAAATCGAGATGTCCTGTTGAGTTTTACAAGGCATTTAGGAGCCATCGATCAGAGTCTATGTTAATGTCTGATGCTCCTTTTTATCTGGCCATCAACCACAAACGAAAACCAGAGGATAAAGTTTGGTATTTGAATAGACCTCTCGGTAAGAATGAAATTGTAAAAATCTTGAAAGAATCAACAGAAGTGGTTCTTGGTAAGGAGAATCAGCAAGGCCTCAAGAGAAAACTGACCAACCATGCTGTCGTAAAACTATCATCGGCAGGCTCCTTGATGCAAATGTGGAAGCTAACTACGTGGCACAACTAAGCGGTCATAAGAATCTGAAAAGCATCGATAGTTATAAATCAGCATCCCTCCAGAACCAAAAAGCAATGTCAGCCATCCTGAGCAATGGTTCAGCTCCTTCGACCTCTTCATCTATAGTAACCGCCGTTCAGACTACTGAATACTTCAACTTCCCTACTGGTGTAGAATGAAAATTTCAAGCCACAAGTCATCTTTGCTGGAGCAAATATCGAGAAGTTTGATGGTTGCACGTTCAATGTGAATGTCTTTTGCCAAAAATCTGCACAGCCTCAAAACCATAATGAGCTTGATTCTTAGTGTTTTAAGATAACATTGAACATTTTATGCTTGCTTTGATTGCCTCCTCATTAGGATTGAGTTTAAAGAACATCCCTTTTTGAGTAGTTTTTGCCTTCTAATATCTGTAAGTTCTATTGAATAACTTGCTTTCGCACTTCTTGTCAAACTGTTTTATAACTGGTATTTTAGTAAAATCACTGGGAAGCCATTTGAGTGTAATATACACGTGCGCTTCCAAAAATGGTTTGTTTATAAATATAAAAGGCGCAAATGAAATTTGTCCTTTTCAATGAAAAGTGGTCATATAATAAAACTCTTATCAACCGAGCTTGGTCGATCTGTACGGGATAATCTTGACCTCGGTCGGGTACCGACCTCGCTGCGCTTGGTCTSTACATTGGTCTGTACATTCCAACCTCAGTCAAGATTATCCCGTACGGGCCTCCTGCTCGGTTAATAAGATCTAAATACAACTACATATTTGGTATACGAATGGCCTTTGCCGTAATGAGTTTCAAAAATTGTAAGATTATGATAGCTTTAGCCCTTTTGGTGAAACTCAGTGAGTTAAGGTGTGTTAACTAAGTCAACAAGTTAAGCAACTCCCCCCCCACTCAATTGGCTTACACTTTCATAAGAAAACCTTCAAAATGCCTATGACCTTTATTTTTTTAACTTTTTTACATCGAAATATAAGCTATTCTAAGAAACATGTCAAAAGAATGTTTTGAAACTTTTCTATATTTTTTCAAGCAGTCAAAAGTGCAAAAATAGCAAGATTTCAAAATATGACCAAGCGACTGGGGAGACTGGGCTAGAGACGTTAAAACAAAGCATTCTTCTTGATGAACAAAGAAATGTATTGGATCCTGAAAACGTCCTTGCATTTCTTGGGGKTTTTTGAAAGTCTTTGGACTTTTAATTTCTTTCTTGGGCTTCTATGAGTAAGTTCGTTATCTATGATTCCATTTCCATAGTTAAATTTTGGAATGATTTAAGTGATAGGCTTTGTAAAGATGTGCAGATTTTCAAGTATGCATTGCGAAAAAAGCTTTTGAGTGAATTTCTTAATAATTATATAGATATACATCTGTAATTAGGATTTTAGTGATGTCAATAGTTTAGGCTTTTACATGTAATGTATTTACCTATTGAGTTATTTATATTTTATCTTCAGTATCATATATTTATATAATTTTTCTTAGATTTATACTTTTTTTTTTTTGTAACTGCTTCTGAAAAGCAAAATGTAAAAATGTACAATAATTGTGCATTTAATATCCCAGCTCCTCATCTCACGCCTTAATAAAAATTAAAGGGTAAGGCTTACGAACATGAGGAAAGTCCACCTTATGCAACAAATGTAAGTGCTTTTCTTAAAAGTTATAAAAATTATAGTTAGAGTAGCTGAGAACAGGCTGAGCACTTTCAACAAATTATACCAAGTTATTTTACTCCAATAGGGCGGAAAGGCAAAATTATTACCTCCATAGAATTAAGGCCAAGCAAGAACCTGATAAATACTTATCTATAATCATGGATGGTATGGATCAAAATAAAACACGTTTGCCACATTTCACAGGAAGAACAAAGGTATATCTAGATCTGAGAATCATTTAGCACTGTAATTTGCAGCAAGGCTATTGTTTTTAAACTATGCCATTCATTTGTCCCTTTGCTAGGTTGATGTTAGTCTTTGGAAACTGAAGATGCACATTACAAGTGTTCTGGTAGACGCTCATTCTCGTGCCTACACATACATTGACATTTGTGAATACCCACATGACCCAAAACTCACTAGCACTAGTGAGAGAACAGGAAAAGGTGCAAAAGAAATCTAAAGTTATCCTCGTACCGGCATCAGGCCATTGTAAATTTAAGACCTTTAATGATGTTTCAAGCCTTATCACATCCTTTTTAGAGGGAACAGCTCCCACTGTTCTATATGTACAAATGGATAACTGTGGACGAGAGAACAAGAACGCTGCTGTAATAACGTTCTCACTGTAGGTTTGCTGGTTAAATTGGGAATTTTCGAGAAGTTACTAACGATAGCTCGATTAGACACGAATAGGCCATTTGCAGCAATTGATCACGTGTCAATTTGCCCCATAGCAACAAGCCCGTGGTGGGCAAGCTAACCACGCATTCCTTGACAACAATAAGACTTTGAGTGGCGAAGCTTAGCGATACCAAGACTATACTGACCGTTTTTAACCTTTGTTCTGTCTGGTCTGACCCGATATTCCGTATAAAGTTGAAAGAAGGGTTTTTTTATCGTTGGCGATAATTTTTATCATAAAGATTGGCCGCAAAAGAGAGTTTTTTGTCTTTATTCTGGTCGCCGTGGACAGAAGACGCGTGTGCAAATGGCGGAATTCTCAGGTATGTTTATGACTCATTCAAACCCCGATTTAACATCAAAATTTCTATTCAATTGTCAAGATTCTTTTGAAATGAATGTAGATATACCTACAGATCCTCTTATACTAATAAAAACTCATATTTGCTAGCATTTGAGGCCTGATTTTTGTTTTAAAACTCGAGGTGTGATATCTTCGCCGACTGCTGGCGGCAACAATTTATAGACTGTTTCTGCGCTTAAAATGCTTCTCGAATTTAATTTATCTTCGAATTTAATGATTCCAGAT